CTTCTTAGGTCTAGTCCTTCATTAACTGCTCTTCTTTTATAAAGTACTTTTTCATCTTCTTAACTGAACTTAAATCCTTCAGTTCTTATAATTCATAAGAATACACAACATCCCATTAATAATTCACATGGGAATTAAACTAGAGTACTTGGGTTTGAGACAAATTAGGTCATTCTAATTTATTTAGAATAAATTTAATTTAGATTCTATGGCAAATCTAGACAGCATATTAAAAAGCAGAGACATCACACTGCTGACAAAGGTTCATATAGTCAAAGCTATGGTTTTCCTATTTGTAATGTATGGCTGCAAGAGCTGGACCATAAGGAAGGCTGACCACTGAAGAATTGATGCTTTTGAATGGTGGTGTTGCAGAAGACTCCTGAGAGTCCCTTGGACTGCAAAGAGATCAATTCAGTCGATCCTAAAGGAAATCAACCCAGACTGCACTTTAGAAAGTCAGATACTAAAGCTGAAGCTCAAATACTTTGGTCACCTAATGAAACAGAAGGACTCATTGGAAAAGACCCTGATGCTGGGAACAATTGAAGGCAAAAGAAGGGGACGGCAGAGATTGAGCTAGCTGGATGGGGTCACTGGGCAGGCGGGTGTGGGGTTGGGTGGACTCCAGGGGATAGTGGAGGACAGAACCTAGAGGAATGTTGTCCATGGGATTGCAAAGAGTCGGGCACAACTTTGCAACTGAAGAACAGCAGCAACAGGGCATTCTCACATGTACTGCTTAAACTTGCTTGTTTAAAGATCTGTCCAGATACAGCCTACATTGTATTTCTGTACTATATTCTGTCCTACATTCACACATAGCATGAGCAGAGGAAAAAGAATTCCACGCCCATACATACTGATCAGGCATACAATAGTATGGATGATCTTAGCCTTGGTCTCCAGTGAAATGTTCTTACACTTGATTATCTTTTCTAGTTCCTTCATTGCTATCCTTCCAAGTTCCAGTCTTCTTTGAATTTCTTGTCTACAGTCTCCATTTGAACTGACAGTAGCCTAGGTATGTAAAATCTTTCACAATTTTGCTTAGAACTTACTTTGTTCATGTTTGCAACCAGGCAAACTGAAGAAAAGTGATAGACTCAATATTTGACCCCATTTAAAACTCACTGAATAAGGCCTTCCCGCATTTGTTAAAGAGAACAGCCCTGTACTGGTGGTTAAGGAGGCAAAACTGATCTATTCCATTATTAATTTATGTGGGTTAATTTCTGCCCCATGGACATACATGTTTAACTCCCATAATTGTGATGGGAGTTGTCAATGATACCTGATTATAACAGATCATCTTCAGAGGAGAATGGCTAGATCAGATAGGCAAACTATTCAAAGAGTAGTACATAATCTGTTTTATATGAACAGAGAAAGATAATCTTTGTTAATGCTTTGACTACTGATAATTCCAAGATGATGATGGTCTAATGGTTAAAGTATCCATTAACAATATCTAGCAAAACTGGCCTCTTCTGCCTACAGGATAAAAAATAAATTCATTTTATTTATTTAGTATTTCCATTTATACACCACCCTCGTAGCCCAGAGGGCTTTCTGGGTGGTTTACAAACATTAAAATCTACCAATCCTAAACAAATAAATAAATTGGCTATACCATGACAGTATAAAATAACATAGTTAACATGAATTAATTAAATATAGCATTAAAATTAACTAACTTTAAAATATTGGTTAAATAAAAAGGTCTTGACCTGGCGCCGAAAAGCATATAATGACGGTGCCAGGCAGACCTCTCTAGGGAGCGCATTCCATAGTCAGGGCGCCACAGCAGAGAAAGCTGTCCTCCGAGTACTCTGTCTCCTAGCCTCTGTCAAAGAGGGTTCCCAGAGGAGAGCCTCTGCTGCCGATATTTTGCAGGATGTATGGAGGAAAGAGGAACTGAAAAATTGTTTTTAACAAAACAATATCAGGTTTTATCAGGAGTGGCCATTTTGAAGTCTGTCTGTCTGTATGTCTTCTCGTCTCTCTCTCCTTCTCTCTCTCTTTTTAACTAAAGTTTAGAGTTACCAGACAAATCAAAAAGTTGTTTCAGAAATATGGAATGGGGTTGTTCTTTAGTTATTGCCAGCTGACCATGTACACATCTAAATGAAACCACATTTTTGCAAGTTATATGAATGGAGAAAGAGGAAGAATTGATGAGAAAAACACATCCCTACCCACTGTACAAATTCAGCTACTGCTAAAGATCAGTTTTAGCACTGTTCTTATGTGGTGTCATCTCTGACTTATGGTGACCCTATGAATGAAAGCTCTCCAAAATGTCCTATCCATGACAGTCCTGCTCAGTTTTAAATTCAAGGCTGTGGTTTCCTTGGATGATCTTGGCTGTGGTCTCCTGTGAAATGTCCTCACACTTGATCTTTCCTAGTTCCTTCAGTGCTGCCCTTCCAGTTCTCAGTCTTCTGCAAATTTCTTGGCTACAGTCTCCATTCGGATTGATGACTGAGCCTAGGTATGTAAAATCTTTCACAATTTCTGTTTCTTCATTGTTAACTGTAAGTTCTGTACTTCTTGTGTGAACATGATTGTTGTTTACTTAATGATCAGCTGCAGTCCTGCTTTCTTCTTTCATCAGGAGTCATTTCAATCCATTGTAGCTTCCTGCCAGTAGTATAGTATCTTCTGCATATCTTAAATTATTGATCTGTCTTCCTTCAATTTTCACTCCTTCTAATTCTAGTCCAGATTTTCTTAGGATATGTTCTGCATACAGATTGAACAGATGAAGAGATGAAATATACCCTTGTCTGGCACCTTTGCCTGTGCTAAACCGTTCTGTTTCTCTGTATTCTGACCTAAAAATAGTTTCTTGTTCATGTTACAGATTATGCATCAGGAATGACACACCCATTTCTTTCAGGATCGTTAATAACTTTTCATGAACCACACAAAGGGCTTTATTTCACTCTATTATTTCAAATGGTCTTTTTAAATTATTTGGTGCACTCTAGTAGCCAAATACATTTCATGTATTTGAAATATGATCTCTAGTGCTTCTTCCTTTTCAGAATCCAGCCTTGAACATCTGGCATTTCTTGCTCCATATGGGCTAATATTCTTTGTTGCAGCACCTTAAGCATCACTTTGCTTGCATGGGAAATTAATGCAATGGTCCTATGGTTGCTGTGTTCTTTTGAATCTCCTTTCTTGGGGATTGGAATGTATATTGAACATTTCTAGTTTGTGGGCCATTGGTTTGTTTTCCATATTTGTTGGCATAACCTTGTTAGGAGTTACCACTTGAGACTCTGTGGCTCAGAATAGTCCTACTGATACCCTATCTACTCCAGATGCTTTTTTTATTCCAAGTGCTTTCAGAGCAGCATTAGTGCCTGTATTATAGTAGAAATCTACTATCCATAGGTAATCTTCTATAGGTAAAATTAGAACTAGGCACTCCTGTGTATTTTAATGTTGAGCAAAATTTACAACCACAATTCTAAAACAGTTTGTCATCAGATTTTTTTAAGTCACTAACTGCATCTATTTCTGTTGTGATGCAGCTGAAGAAAGAAAAGTTAAGCTCCCCTCATTCTGCAGTCCTGTTGGTAACTGGACTACTCTTAGATTTTTATTTTATTTTTTGTAAATCCTCTATGTAGCTACAATTAATTTTTAGTTTCCTTTAGGTCTAGAGGGCTTGCTGCACTCCCACTCCCCTTTGAATAACTCTGTATCTTGGTCTTTTCTAGGTCTGGTTCAGTCCTTAGGGTTGCTCAAACATCAGAATCAAACCATGTCAGCACTCAGGTTTACAGTGCATCCCATTATTACTGCTACTCAGAAGTGTCAGTAAGTTCAAATGGGCCTTATACCCAAGTTAAGTAGATCTAGGACCGTTTGTATCTTAATGATGCTGGAAGTAAGCCTCTTCTATTTCTTGCGTTCCAAATTCTGCCTTTTGTCCTCGACGAGTACACTAAGCTTTTTGTGCAGAAAAGATCCTTGCCAGGAGAGCACGCAGCCGAAAAGACAGTGTCAGGGGATCTCGAGGGCACAGCTGGTGTTTTCCAGGTGCGTTCCTCCTTTACCTGAAGCGCTCGCACACAGGCTCCAGATATGTGGGTAATCTCGGCGTCATCAGAAAAACAATAAACTAATGGCTTATAATTTGCATCCTTGTCGGTAAGCCTCTCCCTTCCTGCGTAATCGACGGGGACCTGTTAATGCGCTTCTTGCTTAGTGGGCTTCTGGGCGAGCGGACTTCCAACTAAATGCGAGACGGGACTGGCCGCGAGGAAGCCGCCCGCGCTCCTCCTGTAGCGCAGAACAAATGCATAAATACGCAGGAAAACCGGCGGAGACGGATTGAACGCGCACACGCTTCTTCGCGAGTTTGCTCAACGGGCGAGCCAAGTCGAGCAAGTGGGAAGGGCGTGGTTTGCACGGCGGCTAGGAGCAGGGTTGGAGCTCTCGGCGCAGCCTTTAGGAGGCGCTTTGGCTCTTCCCACATACACGCCTCTGGGCTATCCCACCGCCTTTCGCAGCCTTGGCGGCTGCGACCGAGCGCGCAAACCTAGAGGCTTTCCTCCGTCCGCGGCCACGCTCGCGCCGCCGCCGCCAGTGGCGGTTGACAGCGCGGCCGCCCCCCCCCCCACTCGTTCGCTCGCGCGCGTGGGCTTGGCGATCCGTTCCTGCCCGGACTCGCGTGGCTCAGCCATGGAGAAGGGAGGCTTCAGACGGCTCGGCAGGCTCTTTCACCAGCACAAGAGCGAGTCCGAGGACTCCGAGCCGGACACGAGTCAGGAGAGGGCGTTTCCGTCCCCCTGCCTTTCGCCGTCCCTCCAGGGGCGGCGGGAGCATCGCCACAGCCGCCCGCCGCCCGCCGCCGACGCCCCCTACCCGGAGGATCGCAAGAAACGCTCGCCTTTCGGCCACTGGCGCCTGAGGAAAAAGTCGAAGGAGAAGCAGCCGCACCGCACGGACCACTCGGCAGAGGCAACGGCAAGCCGCGGGACGGACAGCGTGCCCGCGTCTCCTTCGCTCTCACAGTCGACCTCCTTCCCCACCTCGGAGCCTACGACCCCCACGAACAGGTAATGGCCAGCCCGGGCACGCCCGTTCACACCATGCCGCCGACCTCGCGCAGAATTCCACAGGTTTCCGCGGCCGTCTCCCTCCGTCCCTCGCTTCGCCCCGCTTCCAGTGGCCGCCCCCTGCCCCGTGTTTATGTTCAAGCGCTTCGGGTCCAGCAGCTCGCAAGGGCGGGAGAGGGAGTTGCTCAGGGGATCTCTCGATGCCCGCGCTCCAGGTGGCAAGGCAAGGCCCCCCCCCCGCCCCCCCGCGACAGGTGTTGCGCTCAGATTGGCAGAGCGATCCCGTTCAGCGCGGCGCGGTGGGATTTGCTGGGCTGCAGCTTCGTGCAACAAGAACGCGAGAGCAACCGACCTGGCGAGATGGCAAACTCCTGCCAGGGAACTCCCCTGCCCCTTAAAGGCGCAGCAGGTTCTGGCTTCTCTCGTGCTCTTGCCATGGAGTGTTGGTCTTTGCATCGACCTTCTTAGTTTGTCCAGGAAACCCTTTGTTTGCTGACTCCCAGCACCCCCTGCAGTTGCACGCTTAACTCCCACTCTCTGCCAAAACACACACGCATGCACCCAGGTAAGCGAGTTGAACTTTTAACACAGGCTGTCATGCTTCTTCGCTTAAAGATTGCTATCTCTTTCAGTATTATTGATAAAGCGATGCAGTAGCTGACCAAGCATTGGAGCAGCCTTTTGCAACCTAGTGCCCTCCGGAGGTGTTGGGCTGCAGCTTCCAGAGGCAGCTCTGGATTTGGGGCAAACGGGGAAGAAATCCCCCATAAGTAGATACACTAGGTTCACTGCTTCCAAGTGATACTACACATGGTATTCTCCTGAATTCCTTCTGCAGTCTCAGTGCTGTTGGGCACATCAGGCTCAGTGGGCATGAGCATCACTTACTTGCAGCCTCTATCCTCTTCATCATTGGCTGAGAGATGGTAGGAGTTGTTGCCCAACATATCTGGAGGGCACCAGGTTGGGGAAGGTAACATGAGTAAAACATTGACATCTGGAGATGAAATCAGGTAAGTTATAAGCTTAAATGTAAAGATAAATGTAGAATGAGTTGAAGGTCCCAACCCCCAGACCAGTCAGGCTGGCATTTATGGGGTCCTCTCAGTTCACTTTCAACATTTTCATCCTAGGAGCACTGTCTGTGTGGAAGCATCCTAGAAATAGTATCACTTAAATTTTAGTTAACTCTTTGTGGGTAGGAAAAGAACGGACATCAGAACAAATTTTTTAATATTTGCAAGGATTTTATGGTTTAGGGTATCACCCTGAAACTAAAATGGGTTGAATTGCAAGCCAAGCAAATAAATCTACCATCAAAGGATGGATTAAACCAAGGTTTAACTAGGTGTTGTAGCCAGTGGTAGCCTAACTTGAGCCCCATTCTTTTCTGTGAATGAATTCTACTCTAGCAGAACTTTGGATACACCCCTAGATTTGTTTCCGGCAGCAGTCATCCAGATGAGAATCACAAGCACAGCATGAGGTGGTATGTCTGTGTACAGGAGTTGTTGGGGAACTTGGGCAGGAAGGGTCTTGCTTGTGGGTTTCCCATGGGCAGCTGTGTAAACAGTTATGATCACTATGGGACAGAATACTGGACTAGATGGATGGCTGATCTGATCTAGCATGGCTCTTCTTATGTTTTTATGACAGCTACATTTTGCTAATTACATTTCTGGTACTCAAACCTATCCTGCTTCTAAATTCTGAGGTTTCATTTGATTACCATGACCCATAGGAACTGATCTATCCTCCCTTGACTTAATTTAAGATGTAATTGTATGTCACATTGGAGGCCCCATCTGGGCCGAAAGGAGACTCATAAAGCTATGTAAGCCAATGACAATACATTTTATGATAATGAATTTGAACTAGCTTAATTATGCATTGCATGAAGTATTTCCTTTTGTCTTGTGGAACCAATTGCTGATGAGTACCATTGTTAGCCTCCTAAGATGGTAGCCTTGTTACTATAATTTATATGGCAGTAGTCACATTATCTCATCTGTATTAATCTTCTGGTATGCTAACATCTGAAACCTAAGTTATGTTTACTCAGAAGCAAATCTTGTTTGCTGAATAAAACTTGTTAGTTTTTAGGTTATGTTTTAATATTACTATTCAAGGTAATAAAATACAATTTGAAATAAGAAAATTTTAAACATGTACAGTGAAACCTAATAAAATGTTGATATTTAAAGCTGTGGTCTTATGCACCTTTGAGTTTAGTGGTACTTTGAGTAGACATAAGACTAGGCTATGTTGTTTCTTTATTGTTATTATTGTACCATCAGGTTCAATAGCAAGGTAAGTAAGTTTAGACTAATGTTAGGAAACAACTGAATATGGAAGATTTTTAGACATGGGAAATCTTTAGACCCCTTTACACTTCACTCCAGTGAACTGGTCATATGGAAGGTGTTCTCATAACATTTATTATTTGCTGCATATCTCACTTCATTTTGTTTTTCAGGCATGGCAATGCTCTTTTTGTGTGTGTTCTGATGAAAGTATTGACCCAGATGCAGTTGGTGTGACAAGAGCAAACTTCATGTTAGCCATACTTAGGAAAGAACTGACAATAAAACTGCTGGTATTCAGCTGGCCTTATACAGATCTATCGTGTGACTACATTTGGAATATTGTGTACAGTTCTGGTCACTGCATCTAAAAAAGGGTATTGTAGAGTCAGAAAAAGTGCATAAAATGATAACTAAAACAGTTAAGGGACTGGAGTGACACCCTTGTGGGGAAAGGTTACAACATGTAGAATTTTTAGCTTAGAAAAGGCAAGCAAGAAGAGACGTAATAGAGATGGACAAAATTATGCATGCTGTGGAGAAATATTAGAACCTGATGAGTGGAAAAGATGCAGGACACTGAGAAGAGTCAAGTCCAGACAAAAACGGTAAAGGATCTCACCACAAAGGAGCAGTCTACTGAGCATCCAGTTTCAAGAGCCAATATCACTTGTGGCTTCGCTTTCTCTTGACAGCACTCCTTTTTATAGCTGATGGGAAAGCAAAGGACCAAAATGAAATTCTTTGCACCCTCTTGGGGCAGTGTCCATGCTATATGTTTACTGCACTTTGAAAGGCCAGGGTACATGCTTTAGACCATGGGTCCTCAAACTGTGACCCGCAGACTGGATCCGGCCCACCTCAGAGGTTTTGGACTTGCACCCGGCGAGGTGGTGGCTTTCTTGCGTGGAGATCGCTTTGGACTCATTTGGAGAAAATGATCTCTAAGCAAGCAAGCCGCTGCCTTGCTGCGCGTGCTCGCCCCCACCCCACCACCAGCGCACCCCTCCGCCCCTGCCTTGCCGCATGCGCCGCTCTGCACCCGCTGCCTGCACTGCCTTGCCGGCCTGCACCCACTGCTGGCACCTTTCAACTGGGCCCCCATTGAAAAAGTTTGAGGGCCCCTGCTTTATACTCTTGGAAGGGCGGAATTGCATAAATCCAGCTACACTTTGAAGAGTCAGCAGTGAAGTGGCCATGTTTGCAGATGACATCAAACTATTTAGTGTGGTTAATGGGAAAAGAGATTGTGAGGAGTTGCAAAGGGACCTCTCTAAGCTGGGAAATTGGGCATCAAAATAAATACAGTTCATTGTAAACAAGCATAAAGTAATGCATTTTGGGGGAAAAATATCTGACTTCAAATATAAATTGATCAGATCTGACCTAGTGCTGACTAACCAAGAACCACCCAGCATATAGCTGCTGTGAAAAAGGCAAACACTATATCTCTAAAATGGAACTGAACTGAAATTCAATTGAAACTGAATTAGGAAAGGAATTGAAAATATGGCATGATGAGGAAAAGATGGATAAGGAGACACTTTTTTCCCTTTCCCATAGTTCTAAAATTTGGAATCATCCCATGAAGCTAATTGATGGGAGATTCAGGACATGAAAAAGGGAGAACTTTTTCACACAGTGCATTGTTAAAGTATGGAATTCACTTCCATAAGAAATGGTGATGGCCATCAATTGGAACAGCTTTAATAGCAGACTGGGCAAATGCATGGAGGAGGCTATCAATAGTTACTTGTCCTGATGGCTGTACACTTCCACTAGTGGCAGAGACTGTGTGTGCATAAATACCACTTGCTGAGGAACTTGGACAGGTAGAACTCTTGCACCCATCCTGCTTGAGGGATCCTGTGAACTGCTGGTTTGCCTCTGAGAAAAGAGAATACTGACCTTGATAAACCCTTGGTCTGATCCAGCAAGGGGATTGTGAAAATTTATCTCCAAAAAAGCTGGGGTTGGGTGGGTGGTGAAGCTGTAGTGAGCCAAAGAAGGCTTGCAATCATGGTAAGGGGGACGAGGAGGCTTTAGCCACCATGTACACCAGGATACCATGTGGATGACTGTGGGAAGGAGTTGGATATGGAGACAAACAATGGAGTTCTTGATTGTCTCTTGAACATATCAGCATAGCTTAGTCTCAGTATGTGTCATAGTGATGTGTGAACCCACTCACTAATATAACTAACAGTATAAGTAACAGTCACTTTTACAGAAAAGAGAGATTTGCTGAATAGAAAAAGAGTGTAAAGTTAAATATATTCCTGACCTTCTAGGAGATTTGTTCTTGGGTAAAAAGCATTGCTCACATTTGGAACATTTGGAATGGTTATTACTGAAAGTAACCCTTGAACTCCAATTCTAGATATATTAATAGATCTGACAATTATGAAGCATACTGACCCCTTTTTAGAGGTGGCAGTTGGATTATTCCTTCATATGTCTTTACAGTTGTTAGCATCCTTGAATGAGAAAAGTAGGTGAATAAAGTATAGCATTTATGCAGTTATATTAAAATGTTTGATAAAGGTATTATATATTCCATGCTATGCTTTCTCAAAGTGTTTTGCTTTTCTTTATCTCTGAGATATTATGTTGTTCAACTTAATTGTATGGTTTCATCACTCTGTTACATATCTGACCATCTGTTTTGTAAGACCAAAAATAGCAAAATGGTGGCTT